AAGAGAGACGGACTCGCGACAGAAAAGCCGATCAGCTGATCATTGATCAGTTTCATGATTGAAGTAGCAGCAGGAGAGGGAGAGAGGCAGTTACGGTTATGCTATGGTTATGAGCCGAGTTACACCGTGACACAAGTTTTGTGAGGTGTTTTTTTTTTTATATTTAATAGATCGGATTACATTTTTTATTTCTCTCCGATATCCGATCCAGTAATTTACGTCAGTATCGGACCGATACTGATACGTAATATCGGCTCGGTCCATCTCTAGTAAGCAGTGATAAACTTCAAACCAAACACGCACAAACATCTCCAAGGTTTACAATGAAACATCCAGTGAGCAGCCGCTCTGTGGAAGAATAAGCCTTGATGATGGCATCAGAGAAGGAGCACGCTGCTTTGAGCTGACAGGAAGGCAACATTAACTCAAACAACTTGTTACGAGCAGGGTCCTAGAAGAACATCTTTAAATGCACAACAGCAGCAGTGCACAAAGCGCAGATCATCTCACACCGGTTTCTTGAACATGACACTGAGTTCGCTGGACTCAAACAGCCTCCGGTCACTAGATCTCAGTCAAGTAGAACCCATTTGCTGTCATGTAATAAAGACCAAAATCTCTGAGGAATGTTTTGGTATCCCAAAAAGTGGATTCTGTTCATCTGGACGTAGCGTTTTCAGTGGGAGTGACTTCTTCAGTCTCAACTTTTTGGGATGCCCTTGCCTGGATGAAGGCGCATCAAGACATTTGGTTATGGTATATTCTTGTCTTCTTTCTCCTTTTTTAGACTTGTAGTTTTAAGAGTCCACATCTGTGACCCACTCATAAGAACTGCAAAACAACAACACACAAAAACAAATACAGCAAAGGAGGCCCAGAACAGCTGAGCAGCTGAAACCTTGAAGCACGAATGGAAAAACATTTGAGTCCATCAGTTGGGCTCCTCGGGTCCCAAACTCTTACAGAGTGCTGTTAAAAGAAGACGAAACATGTTCTTGCTGCAATTTCATTTGACACATTGTGGCAACAAATTCCAAAAGTGCATTTATTTGACAAAAACAGCACTATTTTCTGTGTTATTTTTCTATAACGCAGACTTGAATTGCTTTGCAAATCACTCTATTCTGTGTCTGGGACTGTGAATCAGCACCACAGGGAAAAATAAAATTCACTCACTTTTAGAATCCAGGTCAGGAAGAGACTGCAGACACACTGATCCACATGTGAAACAAACCCGCTGAGCCAGCTCCAGTTACAGAGCTGGCAGCTCCTCTCAATGGAAACCATGTCACACATTAATAATGCACCGATTTGCTAAGTCAGCCTGCAGCCAGGCTTTGGCCTGCTGAACTTCCTCAGGATGCCTCGCTCACAAATTCTGCATTTTCAACACATCTGATGACTCACTGCACTCTGACTGAGAACCATGGCCTTAGACTCTGAAGTACTAATTCTAATGCTACTTTCAGTAGAAGCTGGAAGTCGCCGTCTGATGAAGTCAAAAGAGCCACATCACCTACAAAACAACCAGCAGATGGACTCTGCTCATAAACAATTTGACCTCTAGTGATGAAACATTAGTGATCATAGTGGATCCATAAAGCCACAAACCCTTCCCTGTTCCAGCTGAACAGTATGATTCAAATAGTTTATCTAATCTAAAAATACTTTTTCATTTGCATTCTCCTGTGCTTGCATTACATCAACTGTAATGCATTTTATCTAAGCCATCCAGCGGGCTGCATCAGAGCGTATGGAAAATTAGACTGGTTTGTTACTTTGGTGTGTTTATCTTCACACAGAGAGAATAAAAAGTTTAGACAAGAATTGTAAAAGAAAAGTGCTAAACACAAAGTTACAGCTGAATAAAGGTCGATGGATTATAAAATGTCACATAAAAAGGATAGGCTGTGTAAACTGAGTCATGCACTGCTAAAGACTGCATTCTGTAACATGTATATCTGGGCTGTTTGTGAAAGGAGTTTAACAAAATTTTAGGATTTATCCGTTTTGGTGTTCTTCTAAAATTATTCCAAAACCACCAAAACAAGAACAAACACCTTTAACCTGTAGAGCTGGGAGTCAGCAACTCAGCTGACAGCTGGTTGAGTGACAGCAACAGTGAATCCTGATTAACATCTGTTCTTCTGCTGCTCACTTTTCATTTTAATTGTATTTAAATTGGACTTTTATTTATTTGTTTATTTATTGGGTGGGGGGGGGACACCATCAGTTTTATTTTTAATTAATTTGTTTGATCAAATCTTTTCTCTACTTCTTTCATTCTTTTTGTTTGTTTTACTTTTACTATTCTTTTAGGCTGCATCTTTACGCAAAAAAAAATGCTAAACAAACAATTATAACAATTACTATTAACAATATAAACAAGTTTGAATACGCTTTACAACTATTAAGCACGAGGAAAGAGAATTTACGTGACGTCCGTGAAAGCCTCAGATAATTATTATGTAGTCAACACCAGAAACAACGTTAAATACACAAGTATGTATCAGCTGTGGACACCAGTAATAAAATGTGTATTTTGTAGAGGTGGAGGCTAACACGCAGAGCAGTGTGACGTTAGCAAACCAGCTAACAGCTTTGCTTGTCGGGGGGTTCAAAGTTACTGAGCAGCTCTCCGGAGGTTGGACGAACTCACCCCGCAGCTCAAGCGGAAAACTCCCACAGCTCCTGTTAATCTATCCGAGCACCGTGGATTAGACGTTTAAGTCTCCGCCCTCTAATTTGAAGCTGACATTCCTGTTTACGACTGCATCAACTGGGCTGTGGCGCTAACGGCTAACTAGCTAACAAGCTACCCCAGAAAACTTTGTTTACACTCCACGAGCTGCTCCTCCACCTCCGATTCATTAACTCCGAGCTCCGCGGGACTCACCCGCACTCCCTCCGCTCCTTTTACTCCATACCAGCTCCTCCAGAATAAAGTTTGAAGCCCAGCGGGTCGGGATCTGGGAGCCGCACGATCCTGTCGGGGTTTGTGGGCTCCGCACACGCACACAGCTAACTAGCTGTATCCTTATTCCTGGGGCTGTCCACCCGCCGCAGCCTACAGGAGGAGGCGGCCCGGGGTTGGATATCGGGCAGCTGCCATATAAGGACATGCACTCTTCGGGTCCGACCAGCAGAGGGGGCTACATGCTCACTGAGTCGTCGCAATTAGTGAGATCAAAGCGATGGACTACCAAAAACAGATTTCTGTGTGCTTTTATGTCTAATATACTTAAAGTCGTATCATTTATGAGAGATATGTTTGAGATGTGTCTGGCAGGTTCTATATTAATTACCACCAACCTTTAATCACTTTTTGGCACAACACTGGAAGCGTTCTGGTCACAGGGGTCACAGTGCATCTATCCAGGGCTGCAGCAGCTATTTGAGCTGATAATTTAAGCTGCAAGTCCACAAGAGAGCTGAAACAGAGAGTGTGGGCAGGCAGGGTGGAGTGAGTGTCAAGGCAAGAGCAAGAGTGAAAGGGAAGTTTTAAAAGACAGTAGTGAGGCCTGTTGTGATGTGTGGTTTAGAGATGGTGGCACTGATAAAAAGACAGGAGGCTGAGGTGGAGATGTTCAGGCATTCAATGGACAAGGTTAGAATATTAGTATGTCAGAGGGACAAAGTTGGTTTGGACATGCACAGAGAGCGATAGTGGATATACTGGACAAAGGATGTTGAAGAGGAGCTGCCCGGCAGGAGGAAAAGGGGAAACCTCAGAGGGGGTTCATGGATGAGTTGATCTGCTGTAGGGAGACCTAAAGGGACCAACCAAAAGAAGAAGAACAGTACACAACAATCTGTAGAGATGAGTCTGTGGTCATATAACCGAATGAACTTCAAGCAATTATTTTCTTAATTTTTCATTCTCCTAGAATGAAGTATGAATGAAGTATACAGGACTGATATTGACCTCCTAACCTGCTCACTAATACTGTTTTCATTCTTCCTGATGCTAAGACACACCAGAGACCAGAATAACTGTAAATGATCTCGCTATCTTGATAATTATGAAAGTTGAATGACTTGTTTCAACTTTGTGTTTATGAAACTGAATTCAAAAGTCCTACAGCAGTTTGATGGAAATAAAACAGGCAGTTTAGTAAGACTCTAAAAGTTGGGATTCTTTGTGAAATTCTGATGTTTGATGATGACCGATGGATGAGAGACAGTGGAAGTGGCTAAAATAAGCCGGCCTGAAGGACATCGCAGAGGCTCTGACCATGGACCCTGTGCACCAGATAAACTGAGACAGGAGTCTACCACAGCACAAGCTACCACAGGATGCAAGCTGCATGCTGTGCAACAGTGACCCAGAGAGAGTCCAGCTCACAGTAGCAGGCTGTAGGATACGAGCTGAAACAGCAGACGCCGAGAGGCACAACCAAGTGGCTGGGATAGTGTGCACGAGCATCAGGGCTGCAGAAGGCCTGATAGGAGACACATCAGAAGGCAGCTGAGAAAGAATAGCAGGCTGAGGTCCTGTTGGGCAGAGAGGCGGCTGCTGGCCAACCACCACACAGTGGTGACTGACAGGGAACAGAAAGCCACAGCTGTGATAGATGTGGCAATCCCAGCAGACAGTAACATCAGAAATAAGGAGGATGGGGTAAAGGACAGGGCACTGAAGGAAGAAGTGGAGCAAACGTGTAGGAATAAAGCACAAAATGTCTCAGTGGTAATAGGAGCATTAGGAACTGTGAACCCTCAAACTGGAAGAGTGCAATAGGAACAGGATACCCACACACACCACCTCTGAGCTGAACAGCTCAGCTCACAAGTCTTTTTTCAGCGTCCTTCTTCCTGCCAGGAGTATAGGCCTGTGGCTGAGCAGCCTGATTGCAGGGCAGCAGTAGAGTTTCTGCAGCCCTCTCCGGACTCACAGCTCTGCTCCCACAGATCCTCCGCCTCTACCCAGAATTCAGCCTGAAGCCACGAGCTCCCAGCCAGCTGAGCTCATGCTAGCTGCCATCAGATGAGTGTGGCTCTGGTGGAGTAACAGGAAATAATTGTGTTGCTCAACATTTTCTCACAGCTATTAAACTCCAGTGTGAACACAACCGAGAAGCCATGGGATTTCATCATCACACACGATCAGTCACACCTTTTAAACTACTGTGGAGCATGTGATGAGGAAATACTCAAAGGTGGTTTTGATTTTACTGTAAAAACACACTTAAATATCCAGAGATGACATTTCTAACTAATCTTAGATTCTCACTGACTCCAGTCCAACATGCTTTCACTGCCTAACCAAATTTTTGGACAGTTCAAGTCACTTTATGTGTTAAATATGAAATAATTCTTATGACGATGATACTTTTTTGCACTGCGCTGTGGGAGCGTTATGTGGCTGCAGTAAGGAAATCAGATTTCACCAGACTACGTCATGCTCATCTGTCGCTCACACCTGCTCTGGGGCTGCAGCTGATAGGTAAGTTGGTTGATCATGTGACATAAAATGGGTGTCACAGATGTCATGATGTGAAAAACGTCCCGTCTTTACCACAGACCCTGAATGCTGCATTTGTAGACGTGAACAACCTGGACGGCGATACCTGCGCCAGGCTGAGACAGCGTCCACACCCAGCAGGATACGCTCAGAGACTTAGCAGCAGACGGTCGTAATTTGACTCACCTGAACAGGTACGAAAAACAACAACTGATCCAGCAGCCGTTACTGGGACGAGACCAGTACCGGTTACTGGGTCTGCTCAGTGTGTGAGTGCTTAAAACTGAAGTGGCCGTGGGTGTGTAGGCTGTGTGAACGGACTCTGTCAATGTTTAAGTGTTTTCGTGCCTTTGTGAGGATGGTAGTAGTTTTTAACATCTTTTAAATTTCCCAACTTAAATTCGGATGTTTTCAGAGTCACGTCAAAGGAATCTGTGTTGGTATTTCAGTGCGTGGCCGTGACAAAAGGTGGAGAGAAAATAAGAAAGAAAAACCACATAAAGCAGGTGAAGCAGCAGGAATGTAAAACAGAGCCAGTCACAGTAGGATGTAGAAAGACGCTGTGCAGTTCCTCAGGAGGTATTCAAATTATGCAGCAACACTTTAAACAGAATCTTTACTCCAGATTAAATATTTAAAACTGAGATATTTTCACGCACGCTGTGTAAACAGGAGCATAAATACTAGCTCCTGTTCACCGAGTCTCTGTTTGGCCAGAATTCAGCCTCTTTGGTGTTTTAACAGGAAAATTAAGGGATTGTCTCTGAGGAAATCTGTCTGTCTGACTCTTCACCAGTTGGTCTTAGAACTGAAGAAGCTTCTTAAAGGAAACTTAAAGAAGTCCAGACACTTTTCTTTCCAAGATCCTTGGATTATTTCCATGAAAATATTCCAAATTCAAGGGTGCTGAGTTGGAAAAGTGATTGGACTCACACTTATTAATGGTCCAGCTGAGCTGAAAGACTTTATTCAGGATACATATGTGGTGTTTATTTAAAACATGCTGAAAGTGAAAGTTTTGCAGATGAGCTTCAGCACTGGTTCGTATCCATGGACGTTTGAAAAAACCAGGTGTGTAAAATGCAAAATGATTTCTGCATTTTTCTGCCTGCCTCCTCATTTTGAAGTCGGCCGTGTCTTTGTTCCCTTCCTGATTCATATTTTCAACCATTTTTATTCTTTTGTCCGCCTTTGAGGCCAGTTTGTGCCAAACTGGCATTCAGTCTATTTATCATTAACAGACCTGTTTGGGAACTTATTTTGGTTTCATTGTGTCTCTTTCTGGATGAAAGAAGCTTTAAAGTCATGCGATTTGTGCTTTTCGACCAGTGTTAAGCATTAACTTGTTAATAATTGGTGAATTTGACCTCACCAGCTGAAACATTCAGAGCCGAGTCACCGGCTAACCTGGAAACTGCTGCTGAGTTCACATGTATGCTGCTTCACGCCTGAACAAAGTGAGAAACCAGCAATGGTACAGTGAGGTTGGTGTGTCTTGAACTCTCTAACTGGGACTGTTGACGGAGCCTTAAAAACAGGAACGATTTATGAACTTCCATTTTAGAGTCATGATGAATCTGGATGTGTGTAAATATGTGGAACAAACGATGAAGACAAGGAATCTTATGTGTTTCTCTCTGATGCCAGTGAATGGTAATGAGTAGAGTTCATGTTCTGGTGACAGGACTCTCTGTGGCGGCAGATGATGGCAGGAGGAAGTCGAACTGCACAACTATCTGTCGAGGTGGAGAGGAGGATAAATGGGCTGACTAGAAATTGAACGTTACCGGTGGCATCTGTTGGTTTTCTATTGCTGCTTGTAATCTTTTATAACCTTAACTGAACATTTCATAGTGTTTAATCCAACTCACGAGTATTTTTATGCTTAAATCTAACAAGTGAGTAAAAAATTAAACCCATTAGAGTTGAAATCTTAGCCAGCACCTCCTGTCGCCTTGACCTTCCTAACACAGACATTGAAAGTCTCTGAAATGCACCGTTATTTACTGGCAACCCATAAAACTCCAGTAGTGCATATCAGGGAGGGGCATAGAAGCTAGCTCTTAGCATTGATCTTCTAAGATTAGATGCTTCAAACACATCAGATGTCGGACCTTGTGTCCTTGAATTCAAAAACCCCTTAAATGCAGGTGTGTCCTACCAGAGCGCAGCACTCGCACAGATCCTTTCTTAAAACTCATAAACAGAAAGAACAATAAAGCAGGCCACACAACACATGAGCTATGCTGCCGTTTACCCAACGGTTTATTCCAAGGAGTTTGGAGCCGTTCACAGAATTTAAAGTCAGTTCTGGATATTTTACTGATTCGGTCAGAGCAGAGAGAGACGTGGCGCTCAGAGTCCTGACATCAAAGCTGTGGGACAGAAAGACGACAACCGTAAATAACAAAGATGGCCACGTGAGACTTTTTCCTGGTAACCACACAAGTTAAATTAAATGTAGGCGATACTTTAAAATAACAACTGAAATAAGGCTTTTCAAAACACCTGCCGAGCGGCGACACTTGTTTCTAGAACTTTTGTGGCAGTGACTACAAAGTAAGCCCCTCCTCCTTTCCCTGCAAAGTGCTGTTAACCCTGCAGGACTTC